CTTCACCCAGGTTCCCGTAAACACCTCCCACCTGGAGGACGCCCAGAAGTTTCTGCTCCAGCATCAAGGCCTGTTGAGTCTGCCCCGGCTGGGGGCGGCAGCCGGCGGAGGCGGAGGCGGCGGCGCGGACGGCGGCGGTGCTGCTCGAACCCTGGCCCACATGGGGATGTCGGCGGAGGCCAGTGCCTTCATGGCTGCCGCTGCGGGACTCAGGACTCACGCTGAAGGAGAGGACGACAGGTGAGGAGGGAGTTGTTTCTTTCTAACGTGTGCTGTTGTTCTGCAGGTGAAGGTTTTTAAAGGGAACACAAAGAGGAAGTTGTAGCTGAGGCTGCAGCACAGTTTAAAATCTGTTCAACTCAAACAAGATTTTTAACTTTAAAACACATTTGAAGCGACGAACAGACGGATTACGGTGTAACTGTATCTCTGCTTGTAACAGCACCCTGCAGCTGCTTTTCTGTCCGGTTTCATTCAGGTGTAGAAGGTCCGACGTCACGTTCCCCGGCCGCCCCGAGCTGCTGAGTCACTGCGCGGTGGTGATTCAGCAGATTCACTGCCCCGGTTGACCCCCCCTGCTATTACAAATCCACTCCCGTTAGTGACTCTTTGTGTCGGTAAGGTTACATTCAGTTGTTCCCTCACGCTGTCTTTCTTCTCCCCTCCATCTCTCCTCGGGTGTAGTCTTTTATTAGACTGGATTTGTTGGGTTTGTTCCACCCCAAGGGAGCTGTGCAATGCTTTATTCATGTGTGCAATCTCTCAAATCCTCTGTTTTCTGCTCAAAAGATGTTATTTCAGCTGCAGGTAGTTTCTAAAAACGCAAGGTCGATCTAAATAAGAGCAGATGTCCTGGAAAAAAACCCTCCCGTGCTCTATTTGAAGACGCAGTTTCAGTCTTTGAGTCTGAGCTGTAGGGACAGTAGAGGGAGTTGTGTTGTAACATTACGGCTTTTTAGACTTCTGAGTTGTTCCATGATTAAAACAGTGGCTGAGCGAACCAGTAAACATACTTCTAATTCAATTATCAGCACAGCAGGTGATTGGCGAGCCGAAGCTAACCGTTGTATGTATTCTCAGCTGTTCAGATTGTGCCTGAACTCGAGGAACGGAGCGACGGAGGGCGCAGGAACTGCTGCTTCAGTGTTGACACAGTCATATTCAGCTGCAGACAGAGCTGGACTGTGTACTGTGTGTGTGTGTGTGTGTGTGTGTCTTCTCTGTAAATGTGTTTCTGTCTGTCTGTCCCGTTTTCGTGTCATGAATCAGCCTCTGTGCTCCAGTCTTTAAGTGTGTGTGTGCTTTCTTTCACCCGCTCTATCTTTTGTCTCCCTTCCTCCGAGCTGACAGTATCCAGCCCCGTGCCACGATGAAGTCTACAGGTTTTTCAGGCACTGCACCCATATTTACTGTTGAGAGTGAGCAAGAACTGACTGAAATGAGCACAGTATGTATGTGAAGATAAACCGAGTCAGTACACTCGGTCTCAGTGTCCTAGGACACCTCTATCAGCTGTGAGCGTGGCAGCACATCGTAAAGATTTCTTTCTGTTTACAGTGATTTAAAACGGAGAGAAGAGTTTCACCTACTAAAAATACTTGATTTATTAAAATAGTTGTTAGTGGTTTATTTTCTGCTGATTGATTAATCAACTTATACTTTCAGCTGACCAGAAACAGACCAGAAACAGCGAGTAATCTCCGGGATAATTGTTGTTGATCGAGCACACGTCAGCTGTTTTCTGAGTCCAGTTCGACCTCTTTAAAAGTCTCGTGTTGCAGCTGTCGTGACTTTGAAAACACCTGATCGGGCCCGGCTGTGTGCATGACTGCTGCGAGGGTGTGTCTGCGTTTTGTAGGATCCTGCTCGTGTCTCTTCACCTGTGTGCTGTCTGTTTCTGTATCTGTCAGTGAGAGTGAGGGCTGTACGGCTCAGTGATGTCAATCAGGGCTCTCATCTCTCCTCGTGCCTCCCCCAGGTGGAATTTCAGCCGGCGGGTCGGTGCCGGTATGATTTGACTTTTGGATAGCTGCCAGCATCGGTTGAAGGAAAACACACGCACTTCCGGTCTACTTTTACACCTGTCATCTGTGTCTTATCCACACGCTTTTCTCTCTTTCCACCAACATGCAGGTTGCAGACAGTGAATACAGCACTGCTCACTGCTGTTTGAAGCCTGACAAACAGCAGTAGACGGTATAAAATAGGGCTTTTTTAAAACAGAATTATATACAACGTACTGCTGCTTCACCACGTAGACTTAGACTTCTCTTTATTGATGATTATTATTGTGAAATTGAATTTCCAGCAGCTTACAAAACAGTGTAGAAGTATAAAAAAGAGTAAAGAGGTATAAAAAAAATACAGTACAAGATAAA